TTCATATTCCTCACGCTGTGGGCACACAGTGGGGTGGGGTGAAGAAAACTTCCTTAGCATCGATCCTAGCAAACTTTTAGCATTAGCATAAACAGTTTGTTACACATCCGGACATTTTTTCTTTGACTGGCAGCGTAGCTTTAAGCAGCCACTTAATTAATAGAAATAGCTTCGTATTCATCTATTCATGCTGCTATTTAAAGTTATTTTAGAGACATTTTTACTTATAACTTTACTACCTTTGCTTACAGAGACAGCAAACCCGACGCCACCAACGCCGTTGTCCAACAAWCCTCTGAACAGCACGACCAAGTCCGCCATCTTGAAAGGTGACATGTCGTCTCTAGCGTTTTAGCTGGTCTATTTCACACTTAATTCACTTTTTTTTAACGTTGTTATTCACAGATGAGAATCTCGCCGTGACAGTGGAACTGTCGGATCCAGTCAATATGACTTTGAACTGTACCTGGACAGRTAATCAGAACCAAGTGTCAAACATAACAGGTCACTGGGAGAAAAATGGACAAACTGTGGGCAGTCCTGTCACAGTGGATCTGATAAATCATCACTATAACCTCTTATATACGTAAGTACTTCAAGAGTTTTGTTAATTTAATTACATATTTCATCTAATGTTTTGACTGACTCAGTACATTCTCACTTGAAAAAAAAGTGTTGCTGCATTTATTCCTTTTTTATACAATTTAAATGAGACATTTTATTGTTTTCCCCCTTAAGCACATGGAGAGGTTTTTGTCCCTTTTATATATCTTTAAAAATGTAATATCTACAACCCATCCCTGTAGCTTTCATAATCTATATTAAATGTTACGTGTAGCCGCATCACGTATAATTTAATTTCCTTTTAGGTTCATAATCACCAGGGAGGAAGACCTCGGAAATTACTCGTGTGTGTTTGGGAATGAAGCAAGGGTAGATTTTACTTTGACRGGTACAGTTTACGCCATCAGCGCATTCATTCCCTGCTATCAATTAAATCAAATCTAAGTGACTGCATTACACCTTCTCTCTCATTTAGTCCCACAGATGGACAACAAGCGAGACAAGCCTGTAGTTGGATATGTAAGAGATTTGTTGTCGATTGCATGTAAAATGGAAGAAGCCAAACCAAAGCCCAGCACCTTTTACTGGTTTAAGTCCAATGGGACCGATAAGGTCTGTGAGAAGCTCAGAACTTGTTTAGTTTTAGAGATTTGTGTCAGAAGTTAACCAACACGGTGGGATGCTTCTGCAGGAGCAGATCTTGGACGATGAGCGTTATAAAATCACCAACGTTAATCACACGACCAAGCTGACCATGAAGAACCTGTCTCTGGCTGACTCCGGCTGGTACTACTGCAGCGCCGTGTACCCCATCGGCACCTCGATGAGCAAAGCGGAGCTGAAGGTGTGTCATCGACGAGTGCATTCACTCACACACTGCCGATTTAACGCAAGATTTCTGACCAGTGTAGGCAAAATGAGTCATAACGTGTCAGAGGAGGGCATTTTAAAGATTTAAAATTGTACTTATATGGAGGTAATTTAGTTTTTTTAAAATAATTCTATCAAACAAAAAAGCATTTCAACCAAAAAATAATAATTGCAACCAAGCTAAATAC